AATTTTTGCAAGAGTTTGAAGAGAACCAGTTACTGATTTCCTGAGTTCTAATCAATGACAAATTGTCCCCCAGAAGTTCACATTCTGAGTCTCGTGATCTTTCAACCCCACTGGCTTAAAAACTACAAACTGGAGGAAGTCAAAAAAGTGAGCCCAGTGAGAGTTTGGTGGGCTTGTTGGGGCTACGTCATTATTTTGTTAATTAACCCAAATTAAAAAAAAATTAGGATTTTCATCAAATCTGAATCTGTATGAATGGTGGTGATCTGATTCATGATGGCCAGGAGTAATATCTGGTGGTTCATCAAGGATCAGAGGGGACATCTACACTGCAAAGAAAAACCCATAGTGCCTGGTCAATTGGCTCGGGCTCATGTGGCTCGGGCTGAAGATGTGCTTTGCAGTGTCGTTGTCTTGCTTGAGCTGGAGCCTGGCCTTTGAAAACCATTGCAGAGGGAGAGTGTCAGAGCTGAGCTGGGAACGTCTACACAGCTATGCCTGCAGCCTGAGCCCCACAAGCTTGTCTGGACTCTGAGGCTTGGCGCTGCAGGTTTTTCTTTGCAGAGTACACATGCCCAAAGAGTCACTGAGTTTAACGCCAGAAAGGACTATCAGATCCTGTGTATCACAGGCCAACAGCATCACCCAGTACCCATACACCAAGCCCAGTAACCAGAATTAGACTAAAGTATTATAGTTTCCTGTCAATCAGGATCTTCACCATAGAAACTGTTGCCTCCGTGAAACTGTTCAGGACCTCCTGAACTGGCTGAAGATTTTAAAGAAGAACAGGATGTGGGACAATCCATTGCTGCTTGCTCTGCACTGATGGAACCATCGCTATGGCAAAGATCCGGCTCTTTGTGCAGATGGCTCAAGAGCTCTGTTCCTGAATCAGCTGGACAGGAGAGCAGGTCAACATTTTTGGATGAATTTTCCCGCCACTTCAAATAATGGTCTTTAAAGCAAATGTAAACAGCGCATCATTTTTGCAATAAATAAATAAATAAATTTAGTATTTTCAGGCAAAAACGGCACCGTTTTTTGACAAAAAATGTCACGTTCAAAAAACTCCAAGCAGTTCTACTGTCCAGTTGATTCAGGGCAGAACTTGTGAACCAGCTAAACAGTTTAATGAAGCTCAGGATCTCTGACTTAGCAGGGGCTCATTTCATGCACACCTGGATGTTGGTAAACGGAGTCATTGCTTTGTCATTGCCTCTTGGAAATAACTGGGAAATGAACACACAAAAACACTGTGCTGCGTGTGAGTTAAGGTTGCTCTTAACAGCCTCCAGCAAGGCAATGAAAAGTTGAGATTCCCAATAGTCTGTGCCTTCTGCTCCCTCTTCCACAGACACACATCGCTGCATTAACTTGACTACCTCTGCCACAGCGAGTGCACCACAACCATAACTCTGTCCAGCTGCAGGACCAGCCTTCCAGCACCTCCTTACCCAAACCCGAGGGTCTGCAGCGACAGCCATGGGTGGGGGAGTCTGGTCTGTAGTGGAGGGTGGTGGAATTTTCAAAAGCAGCTTCTGATTTCGAGCATACCCAACTTGAGCCAGGTAGGACCTGAGCTGTGGAAGTGCTCAACGCCCACAGCTCTTTGTGCCCACGAGAACTGTGCGTGCACTCAGCAGCTTGGAGAATCCTGCCTCCTGTGTCTCAAGTTGGAGTCACCCCAAAGCCATGGCTGCTGTTGAAAATGTGGCTGTGAGTGATCTGGCCAAGGCCACAGAGTGAGTCAGTGGCAGAGCGGGGTCACAAGGCAGGAATAAAGCTAGCTGGCTATAGGGTAACAATTGTGATTTCTGAATGGAAATTTGTCTGGCTCTGTTCCCACCTTTTATAGCAAGCAGTTCTAGGACGCTCATCTGAGCAAAATGTTATTGCCAACCAGTCGCTGAAGATAAATTCCAGGCCTGCTGCTGAGATGCGCTCAGTTGTAGAACAAATTGAATATTGTCATGAAACTCAGTTCATTTTGGGCAGTCGGGGAAGTGGATGCTAAAGGTTAGGTCACCCAGTCAGAGAACAGAGATATTCCCATGTGACTGAGGTCAGAGAGACTCAGACTTCTTGGATCACATTTTTATACAAAGATCATCTCATAATCACCTGATCTTACATCCGTGATCCCACAAAACACCACCCTGGCTGTCCACAATGACTCAGCCTCCTCCTCTCCCTGCTGTGCTCACACAGACCATTTTCATGCTTTCACAGAGACATCACCCTCCCTTCCATTCCCAGCCACCACTACCCCGATCCACTCCCTTCCCATGTACAATAGTGTGCCAACAGCAGCCATTACTTCCATGGAAGAGTGATATGGGAAGGTATTGAATGGACTGTAGCGGTCTGTGCTGCAGTTCAGTAGCTGGAAGGAAGGAAGAAGAGCCAGCACTGTGTGATCAGCCAGATCCTATAGAGCACAATTTGTGAAGCTCTGACTTTGGGGACTAAACACATAGCTCTAATAGGGTATCCTCAGTGAACGGTGCAGGAGCATGGGCTAACAGATGTTCACATAAACTATTCATTGAACGGTTGACTAAAATTCCCCCGAAGCATGACCTTCTCATGGACAGTTCACCAACTGAAATTCACAGAATACACTGCCTGCGGTGACAAACTGGGCCATGTCTGCTTCTGGCTCCCACTCCCACATGTCACTTGCTAGATTCCATTGCCTGCCAGTCACATGCCTGAACAACAACATGAACCAAGAGACAGTTAAAAAGCCACCAGAGAAAAAGTGAAAACAAAGCCGAGACAACCCTGAAGTTGGGCCGGGGCTTGCTCTAGAGCTGTGTCGACCCTTACAAATTTAGGACCAGATGTTGTCACCGTTGCAGATCCACTGGCAGGGGAAGCAGCAATGTAGAACAGGACTCTGGTGTTTTATCCTCATGTTGCCTTGCTCTGCAGGCAAGAGAGGAGCTGAGGGTTCAAACACATTTATGGTAGGCTTGGTAAATCCACAGCAATACCAGCTAAATGAAGGCGTCTCGGTGGCGATCGCACAGCTACTTGCTCCCTAGGGAACAGCTAAACTAAACAAAAGAGAAATCCAATAAGGGGGATAGGTTAGAGAAGCAATTACAGGATTATTGTATCACCCGCCCTTCAGTCAAACACAAAACTAGCCAGCATCACTTCTCTATTTAGGCATTAGAATTTGCAGGGCAGGGTCAAAATTCACTGGGTCCAGGTGCCAGATCTGAGTATTTGTGGGACCGCAATGGATTTTATTGGTGCAATTGCAACGACTAGGCTTGTTCCCTACGTAAACAGCAGAATTAGAGGGAGCTGGACCAAAACTGGGCTAAAATTGCCGTCTCCATGAACAAAGAGTGTGCGCCATGCTGCATACAGTGACCCAGGGAGAACACAGAAAAACATGGGGATTCGTTACCTCGTTAGAATTTTAACAATTCCCACCTTTCTGATTTGTGGTTATTTGCACAATGAAATCTAAATGCGTATTCCCCCAAAAGGCTCTTTCCGGCTTCCTTTTATGGTAAATTACATTTATTGAATTGTTCAATAAAGCACAAGAACAAAAATCACAACCAGGAGATCATCACAAGCCACACAAAGGAAAAACCCCACCTTGTGCCTGGAGCATGCAGTCTAAAGGCAGACAATTCCGACTATCCTCCTCTCACAGGGCTCCAAGACACAGTCAGTCATCCTCGTCTCTTTTAAATATTGATTTCTCCTCTTAGCTGCTCCTGCTCCATCTCCCCTGTTCCCCACTCCCCAAGGGCATGCCTTGGCCCATTAGGGAGATGAGCATTGTTTAGCGGTCTGGTAAAATCCTCCCCCCGAATTCCACTGCCTAAATGGAGAACAAGTCTAGCTACTCGCTTGAGTACCAAGAAAAGAGATCTAGGCATCCTGGCATAACAACGCTGGAAAAATGTATCCTCATGTATCCAGCCCATATTTAACCCCAATCCCTGCAAATTCCATTGGTTCAATAGAGACCCCCCCCCCCATGCTGGATCTGAGTTCTGGTGGTGCCGTTGTCCTGGAATATGCTGGCATCTGGTGTGTGTGTGTGTGTGTGCGTGTAAATGTCTGCAGTGTTGTTGTAGCCTTGTGGGTCCCAGAATATTAGAGAGACAAGGTGGGTGAGGTAATGTCTCTTATTGGACCAACTTCTGTTGGGGAGAGAGACAAACTTTGGACCTAAGGGGTCTTCAGGTGTGGGCAAGGTACTCAGAGTGACACTGTGGCACTGGAGAGAAAGCTTGTCTCTCCCCCCAACAGAGGCTGGTCCAATAAAAGATATTGCCTCACCAGCCTTGTCTTTGTGAGGGGAAACGTCAGGGCTGGATCCAGGGGCTAGATGTGAGTGCCCAAGGTGATGTGCTGAGATGCAGCAGGCTCCAGTGGGACAATAGGAGAAGCTCCACTTGTTGTATGACACCCCCTACTTCAGGGCTTAAGCTAACCTCTCCCCATGGAGATCAGGCTGGGGGGTGGGGACAGAGACCCCCTCTACAAGGCTCTTCTCTCTTCCTCTGAAGCATCTGGTGCACCTAACTGCCCCCAAGCATCTCGGTGGCCCACGGCAGATCCAGCGTGACCCCGCCTGCGGTCTCAATTTGTGCGGCCCTCCCCCAAGCTGTCTGGAGCTGCGAGGGGGGTGTCGTCGCACCGGTTGGGGGGGGGGGGGGGCCTTGGGGGCAGCGGGGGGGGGGGGGGGCGCGGGCCGGCCGGTCAGAGCCGGGGGAGCGGGCCGGCAAAGTGGGGACGGGCCGGGACCGGCTCCGGGCGGAACGGGGACGCTGGCCCTTTAAGAAAGTTCAATCGTGCGAGTTCATCAAAGTTTAAAAAGTTTTTCGTGGAAAAAAAAAGCGGTGGTGGGGGGCGGGGGGGACAGGAAAGTTGGCTGCGGGCGGCGGGGATTGGCTGCGGGTTCCCCGGGAGACGGTGATGCAGGGCGAGGGGCCGGGCCGGAGCCCAGCTGAGCCCCCCTCTCCTCCCCCCCGCCCGGGCGGGCTGCGCCGAGCCATTGATGACCGTATTGAAAAGGCGCAGGCGGCAGTTCGGGGCTGTACTCGGGGCCGGCGGCTGCAGCTCGTTGGCACCTTCCCCCTCCCTTAATTGCTCCTCAGCCAACTCCATGTGAGCCCGGCCGGGTACAAATAGCCCCGCGCCGCGTTTCCCCCCACACCGCGCACCTCGCCCACGCCGCACCCCCGTTCAGTTGGGCGGTGGCCAGCCCGCCCCGCACCCTCCCGGGCAGCACCAGGGCACCCAGCCTGGGCACCGTCTCCGCACCTAGCTGCACCCCGGAGCCTTTTGTTTGTTGGTCACCCACAGGCACCATTTCCAAGCCTAGCCCAGAACCGCAGCTCCCCCGAGAGCCTCCTGCCCCCAAGAGAGCTAAGCCCGGGGGAAGCCCTGCGATCCCTGGACAAAGAAGCTACAAAGAACCCAGGACCGTCCACTCAGCCCCCTGCACCCCCGCCATGAGCAACCTCAACAAGGAGAGCGAGCACAGTAACAGCAGCAACAACATCGAGGAGGAGGTAGGGGGCTGGGGAGCAGCAGCAGGAGCTGCTGCTGGGGGGGGCTTTGCCCCCTTCCTTGGAGGGGGCTGGGAGGGAAGTTTTGGGGGTCCTTGCCTGTCTCTGGGGGTGGGGTGGTAAATTGGCTAGGGAAGTGTAGGGCTTAATGGGGAATTTGGATCCTGGTCTCTCTAGCCTTTAGCTAGGTGGGATGGGGACCTGAGTGTGTACTGCTTGTCAGGGGATGTGGACATGCTCTGGCCTCAAAGAGCACCTAAGGTGCTTACCACAAGTATGCCCCACTTCCCCTCTGCAGGGCTGACCCTATTTAATCCATCCAAAGTGTCTAAGTCAACCAGAAATGTAAGCCCTGCTCTTCCTCAGTGCCCACCTTGTCTGGGGCCGGGCAGCTGGCTGCGCAGTCAGATTCCTGCTCTCTTCCGGCTCTGAGTGGAGCAGTGAAAGAGAACAAACTAACTTTCTAAAAATCTGTTGTGTGAGAGCCCTGCTCCAGCGAAAGCCAGAGCTGCTCTAAGCCCTCCTGTGGCGCTGTGGACAGGCATCCAACCCAAGGCTGTACCTTTCTGTTGGGCTGGGAACAATCTTGTCTGAGGCTGGGCGCAAGACTTGATCTTTCCATCCCTGAGCTTGGCTGTTGGTCTGGGATAGTTTTCTATGCCTTCAGCTGGGACTGGCCCTCAGATTCTCCAGGACCCCAGTCATGAGCCAGGAGAATTTTCTCTCCCCATTTCACCATTCAAAACCTTGCACTACTTGGTGCTTAAAGTGATCTTAAAAGTGTGTGTGTGGGGGCGGCTCTGCCATAACCTGGGAGCATCAGCTTTGGCAAGTCAGGAAAAGGTGTGCCCCACTGTGAGCTGGTTTGATTTCTTTCAAAGAAACCTTGGCTAGGTTGGTGAGCCCCCTAACTACACCCCACCCCCAAAACATGCATACACTAAGTGCTGCTGGCTGGTGTAGTGCAGCCCATTCCTGTTTGTATTGCTGGGTAAAGGGCATCTCACAGCCCCCTCATCCAGCCCTGATTCCCCTTCACCCCAAAGCTTGGGCAGAGGGGTTCCTGGGGGTGGGGAACATCTCAGAATTAAATGAATCCCTGGTGTGCAGCTGGGGTGATGGAGGGGGGCTCCTAGGGAAGTGCAGCTGTTTAAGCAGGCCTGGTCGGGTGTGGAGAGGCGCTCTCCTTGGAGCCTTGAAATGCTCGCTAATCTGGTGTGAACTGCATGGTCCATCTCCTGCTCTCCTCTTGAGAATGCACTGGCTTCTCGGCGTGAGGACTGTTGTAGGCCAGCTAGAGGTCAGGAACATTTCCTTGTCTCATTCTATTTTGCCTAGCTTGACCTCCTGCGTGACCGTGGGGAGATCGGCTAGCCTGGCCCTGCCTGGTGCAGGAGCCCTAGCCCAGAGTGTGGCTCTGGGGAATGAGGACAAGGATCCTTAGCTTCTCGGCTTGAGGGGACCTCCAGTGGTTGCAGCGTGCTTGGGCTGTCCCCAGCTCGGCCAGAACAGGGCTGCCATGCTCTGCTGGAGACCTCTCTGCTTTCAGTATAGTGGGTGAGTAAGAGCCACTTGGGGCACAGAGGGTTGCCAGGCTCCTTTTGTCTCCTCCCTGACCACTGATGGCTAGAAGTGCAAATCTGGACTCTGGTTAGCTTTGTGCTGTGTAGTGTGCTGGGTCTGAGAACCCTGTGCGGGGAGGGAGGGCAGAGCGACCTGGGATACTGCTCTCTGCAGGAGAAGCCCAGAACAGAAACCGTGCAGCCTGGTGTCCAGATGGCTGCACTGCTGTGACTCCTGCCTTGTGGCATGCTGCTGGGCAGCAGGGAAAACAATCCCTCCATGTCACTGCCATCACCTCTTCCACCAGAATGTCTGTGTCCCCTTTAGTCACTGCACCAGAGTACTTAGCACGGTCCCTGACTTTTCCTGGGGCTCTGAGACTTCTCTGAAGTCAGCCCAAGGATGCTCACCCTTTGGGTGCAGAGCTAACCGTCGTACGTGTGTAGTGCTCAGTGCTGGAGGGAAGCATGAATTCCCTGGTAGCTTCAGTTGGCTATGCTATTCTTCCCATCCCCTCCCCCAACTCTCCTACAAGGAGCCGTGTAGCATTGCTGGTGCAGAATGGCGGCTGTGTTTCCACCCTGGCATTGGGCAAAATGCTTCCAGTACATTGGTGAAGCATGCTGAGCTCTTGATCAGGAACTCTCAACAGTTACATAAGAAAACCCCTTAATGCTGAGGCTACCTGTCCACCTTTTGGCGGTGGTGGGGGGGGGCATGTCTGTGCAGGAACAAAGGATAGCACTTACCTAGGACTGCAGGAAGTGGGTTGGGAAGATGTTAATGGCTAGTGGAGTGAGATGGCTCAAAGCACTGTCTCGGAACAGCGTGGTGACTTTTTTCCATAGAATTTCTTAAGGGTTTAGATGGAGAGGAGGGGTCTAATACTTAGTGCCTTGGTACAGCTGGCGATATGGTGGTGGCTGCAGCAGCGGCATTTTATAGCATGCCTGGATTTCTAGTCATGGGTTTAACTTCAGGTTTGTCTCCCCCTGCTTGGCACTTTCCTAGTTTCCCCTCTCCTTCCCTCACCCCTAATTAGCCAAGCTAGTCCAGTTAATGCTTCTGTAACACAGGAAGGGGTTTATTACCAGCAGTTGATCAGCACTGCCTGTGGGGAATCTGCTACAGTACAGCCTAACTAATAGGCACTAATGCCTGGGAAAACCCATTGCAGATCCTTGATCTGATTATTCACTGACCTGCAGAACTTGCCAGTGAAACCCAAGATCCTGAGTCACTTAATTAGTCAGGTGTAATTCTGTTTCAACTACTACCTAGTGCACCCCATAGCATGCTAGTAAGTGTTGTGCGAGGTAATTTGTCAGGCTCAGTCCTCGTGCTGGAGTAAGGTTTACTATTGCTGCCCTGCTGAGAGCTATTGGCTGGTGGACTAGCAAAGTGGAGACTTGAAGCTCTACTATCCAAGGATATATGCTGGTATTGTGACAATATGCTATTGCATGGGGAAGGTAGGAACACCTGGCCCTTCCAACAGTGATGTGTGGTACTAGGCTGGGACTTGACTCTTCCAAGAAAGCCAGTCTCAACTGTATTTCAATGTCTGTCCACCATGAGCAGGGTGAGAGCAAAGGGGTGTGAATAAAACAATTGTTTGGCATGCTCTCATCCTGGTCCTCCAGTAGAGGTCTGCTGTGCATGCCCATGGGGGGGCGGGGCGGTGCCCAAAGGGGAGCAGCATCTGCAATCCACAAATCAGTAGAGCTGCACAGGCTTGTATAAAAGCCCAGAAAACTATAGTAGGTCTCCTCCAAGTCTAACTTCTAGGGCAAGGGTTTTCAAGGTGGGGGTCATGGCCACCCTGTCATTTCTAATGGGAGTGAGTGTCCTTGTTCCATGGAAAGGGATGCTGGTCTGGTCCCAGGGTAGAGAGCCATGGTATGGAAAAGGCTGAGGGCTTCTATGCAAAGACACCTGGCCCCTCCCAAGCAGTCTTGTTCCTAGAGTACAACACCTCTTCCTTGTTGGATGTAGCTGCCTAATTCCCAAAGCTATATACTTGAACTGCTTCTTTGGGAAGAGCATTCCAGTCAGGTTGTGTCCTTGTTTGTCAGACATTTTTTCCCCTTTCTTCATAATTCCTTGTTACACAGGACTTCTCTGCATCACTCAAATTCCTCTCCCTTCTCGTATCTGCATCCTTCTAAGAAGACATGGCCATCTCCAATCATGCTTTGGGCTAAAGTCTTTCCTCCTAGTGTTGCAAACAACACCTTGGGTGACTCTGAGTGGAAGGGAACTCTTTTTATCCCCTCCATGTGTATTTGACAGCATGCTATAGAAAGATTAATTTCTCTTGTCTAACCAATTACCCCCTCCCCATCCACCCTAAGCAGCAGGGAATCTCACATCAATAGGGGACAGATCTACTTAAACAAGTGACTAAAATTAGTAGGGGGCTTGACAGACTTTGAATTTGGGGTCTTGAAACTGACTAGAATTCTATAGTCAGTTTCAATGTTGCTAATGTTGAACCATGGCTCACTTGAATTCTGGAATATGGCTAGGACCTCTTCCCTGTCACTGGTGAGGCAAGCAGTATGTTATCTAGCATCTTCACTCAGATCTAATCCTTACTGCCCTGCCCTGAGCGCTCTGCTCTTCTCAGAATGCCCTCAAACTTCTATTCCTAGATGCGTGCCTCTGCATGGGTAATTTGGTTTCTTTGCCACATCACACTGTAAGCTCCTATCAAAGTTGGCATCCACAACCACCCTTTAAGCCTCTCAGCAAAACCAGTATGTCCCTCTCACTGAACACGCGTACCTTGGCTTATTCTCCTTCTTCCCACTTGGCACTTGTCTGTGTCGCTCCCAAATTTAACCTCACTGGCACCTAATCTCAAGGTCCCTGTCTTTCACAACCCCTCCTGATTAGTGTCCTCTGTAGATCTTATTAATGTGCTCCTCTCTCCCACTGCTTGGCCATAATGGAAAGCTTAAATAGCAGGGCCTCACACTAGTCCCTGGTCTACCTCACCAGACACCTCCCCAAACTTGATACACTGCCACTTATCATTATCCTTTGTTTACATGTCTAAGCCAGTCATCAGTCCACATGCCAAGCTATTCTGAACTAACTGATATGCAAAGTTGTCTCTACAGCCCTTCTTCCAGCCACTAACTTTGGCTCAGCAAACAAAGTGCTCTAGTAAGTAGCACTGCTGCTTGTGACATTGGCACACAAGTAAACAAAACACAGCAACTTATTGATACTGCACTAGCACCTCAGGACCCCAGTGTGCCTGGTGCTATACAAACAGAACCAGGAGAGCACCCCAGAGCAGGGATTTACAATCAATCCTTTTTTAATTAATAGAGAGCCTATCTCCTAGAACTGGAAGGGACCTTGAAAGGTTATTGAGTCCAGCCCCCTGCCTTCACTAGCAGGACCAAGTACTGATTTTGCCCCAGATCCCT